TGGTTAGTTACATTCACTGCTGTATCCCTGTCACCTAGAACAGAAATGGGAAGATACTAAAAGTGTATTTGATTAATAAAGGAATGATTGAATGAAGCCCAGAGAGGTTAAGCAACTTTTCCAGAGTCACACAGACCGTAAAAGCCTGGATATACCCGATTCTGTCTGGAACTAGAGCCCAAGTGCTTAACTATCATGTTAGTCTCAACAAAGAGAAATGTCCGTAAACTGCACTCCAAGGCTGGTGTGTCTATTGTTCCCTCTGTTCTAATCTCCCAGAGCTGCAAACTACAGCAGGGCTCGGGCTCTCTTGGTGTCACTAGACTACATACTTTTTTTCTGCTCAGTGGCAAGGATGCCTGGTGCCTCTGTGTGTGTGGAAGGAGAAGTCTCTGGCTTATCTGCCACTGCTATGGCAACCACATAACCTAAGGACTCCAGAAGAGAGTCCTTTCAGATTGAGATGGGAGAAAAACTGAAGCAAGGCAGAAACAAACAGACAGAAATCTGTGAATGGAGAAATGACAGAAGTCTTGCTTCTGCAGCTAGCTGTGTCACTGGCAGCAAGGAAAACCCATCCTGCTTTCTTCCTGTCCCAGCAGCTCAGCCACAGTCAGGGGCCATGGACCACCTTGTCCTACCTCTAGATGACCCCACCTAACCCATCCAAGAGGCCTTCTGTTCAGCGCCCCCAGAAAAGAAGGGCCCTTAAACACTCTCAGTGACCCCGAGGTAACACAGAGGACAGCCCTGGGCCAGAAGTTGGGAGATTCTTATAGCCATGCTTTGAGGAGATCAGAGTTGCCCACAATGGAAAGATGAAGAAACAAAGCCTCAGAGAGGTTAAGAGACTTGCCCAAGTTTGCACAGCCAGTAAGCATTGAAGAGGCACTTAAACCTAAGGAGTTGGTCTCCAGAGACCAAGCTTTCCACTCCTCCCTTCTACCGTGTACCATGGGGGCCAGGGTATTAGAGACGATCCTATTTTTCTTGCCTTAGTCATGGTGGTCTTTGGGCCCCAAAGCTTCGAGCAGATCATTGAGGAAGTGTCTGGTGCCCTTTACATTTAATGAGGCCCTTTGATCTGTGGAGTTTGCTAAGCACTGCAGACAAGATGGTAATAATCCTCCAGCCCAAAGACTGGAGCCTCAGGAGCTGGGTGTGGGGGCCCATCCTCTGCCCTGCCCCGGTGCCCATCCAGCCAGTCAATGCACCCTTCACGTGCACCTATGACATGCCCAGTTCTACAGGATACACAGGAGCACCCCAAATCCCGGAGGAAACAACTGAAGAACGATCAAGTACCAATCTGTGGGTGATGATGCAGGGGGAAAGGCAGGTCCGTAGCTGGTGGCTATGGGAGACTTGATGGAGGAGCCGGAGCTGGACCAGGGAGGGAAAGACAGAGAAGAGCCCCGCGGGCACAGGTGCAGGAGGGACGGCAGGGACCAGAGCACAGAAGGTGGGATGAGCAGTGATGTGGTGAGAAGCTCAGAGTCTGATGTCAGAAAGACTCAGCGTTACATTCTGGCCATGCTACTGGCTGGCTGAGTGACCTTGAGTTGGACATTTAATCCTCTTTGTTAGGAGTCTCTGTTATATTGAGAGAGATTTACCACCTCCGTTTCCATGTTCTACCATTTTACTTTTTAATAGAGTTTACTGCAAAGAACATCTCCATTCAGTCTGACCTGAATCCATCTGGCTGTTGGCTCATTTCCATTTTTCTTGTTCTTAAAGAAGCCCAGGTTGACCAGTCAGAGATGGTACAGGGTCCAGGTTAAGGCTTCTTAGAAGCCCTAAATACAGAAAAGGTTATGGCTCTCCTCCCAAATGTACATAAAAATATATCAGATCATAAAATACAAAACTGACTTGAATGCCAAGGTTAAAATAGCTTCTTTGCAGATTTTTTTTTCTAAAATCCTGGATCATTTCCTTCACCAAAGTTGAACTTTTCTAACAGCTTCAGTGTCCTTACTTTCTAGTATTTGTGGCACCCAAAGCAAGTCCCTATCCTGCCTTTTGGGTTGTCCAGTGCCCGGGGAAGAGTGGGTGCCCGGGAGCTCCAGCGGAATTTGTACACCCTTGGCCCCTTAGTCGGCGGCCGGGCACTGGGACCAGACCCGGTCATGCTCCCTCCTTCTCCAGATAACGAGGCTGAGGATCGGGGGCTCCAGTGAGCCCTGAAGGTCCCACATCCAGAGCCACGATGAGAGCCCAGGTCTTGTTATCAGCTGTGCCCTGGCCAGTGGCTCTTCCTGCCCTGTCTCATGGCTGCTGTTTGGAAAGCAAGAATAGCCTTTGCTGTTGCCTGGCACCGCTGCCAGGAACCGGAAGTAACGTCTCTTACCTGATTGGCAATTTGACATGGCTGCTTAACAACCCGATTAATCAAACCCAGCTTATCCTGTTGGAATTAATGAGCCTAGGAAATGCTGCCAGGAATAATGAGGGCTTTTGCCCCTCCCCCCAGCACCTCTCCCCACTCTCCCCCTCCTAATTCTTTCTCAGAGCCACACAGCAGCTACTCAATATCAGGGGCCCCTAGGCCTTGATGGGCGTGGTGAGTGCCCTGCAATGTGGGCATCTCCTGCCTATTCTACCCCTCTCCCAGGAGCCACAGCTGCCCACCTGGAGCCAGAGGCTGGCCATGTCCTAGAGGAGCAAAGCCTCTTGTTCATCAAACAGATGGGTACACATTCCAACGTGAGTGTTGGATGGGGGGGGGTCTCATTGTTTCAGGCACTGTACTGGGTGCTAAGGATGCAAAGACAGTAATAAGATGGATATAAGATACATATTGCTGTGAGGGGTCACAGTGTAGGGGTGACCCAGAGACACATGGGGAAGTGCTTTAATGGGGGTATGGAAAGGCCCCAACCCCTCAGCCATAGTGAAGGGGGCCTGTCAATATTGAAGGAGTGCTGGGCACTGAGTGAGGTGCTGAGGTCTCAAGGTTGACAAGTTGGACTGGTTCTCGTTCTTCTGGAGTGGGCAGTCTTATCCCCATTCTTCAAGGCAGTGCAGGAAACCCCCTGATTAATTTTTTGCTGACTCACTCAAACACAAAGGTTGTTGAGGGCCTGCTGGGAGTAGGCTAGGCACCCAGGGAATGAGGTGCAAAGATGAACAACTCCTCTAGCCTTGCCTTCCTGGGCTCCTCTAAGGGGGAGAAAGGCATAAGCAGAGACCCTCATAAGGTTGTGCTGAGTGCTCTAACAGTACACGCTCAAGGTGTGGAGCACAAGGTACTCAACAATCAAAGCAACCTGGAGAAATCAGGGCTGCCTCCCTGTAGGAGGTGGCTTTGTAACTATTATGAAAACAGAGAGGCACTTTGGCAGGTATACAAGGTGCAAAAGGACATTCTAGACCTCTTCCAGGCTGACGGGTAGTCTTTGAGTGATGAGAGTTGAAGTGGAAGGGAAAGATGGTTCCATGCTTTTCGGGAGGAAACGGTTGGTTCTACAGTCTACGGTAAAGAACAAAATGACTAGATACACAAATGAAGATATGCAACTTATAGGTCTGCGGCTCCTGTGTCTGCTAATTCAAAGTTGGGAACAAAGTGTGGTTTCCTGAATAGTGAAAGCCCCAAATTAACAGGGGCATGGCTTAAGTGGCCATTTGCCAGACACACATGGGGCCTGGGGCTGAGAGAACAGGACTGTGCATGGCAGCAACTGGATCCTTTGACAGGAGTGAGGCAGAAGGCATTTTTCAGAATAGATGAGTTGGGGGGAGGGGGAGGCACCGGGAGTAAGAAAGGAGGGGGCCATGGGAGAGGTCAGAAGGGAGCACAGGTTGGGGGAGGTGGGTGGGCTCCACTGCTAAAGTCTCTGAGAAGGTAAAGAAGGAGCTGGGTGGACAGGAGTCAGCAAGCAGAAACGTGAGACCCTGGGCTAGGATGGGGAGAGAACAGATGGGGGAGAGGGAAGCGGGGGGGGAGGGGCCCACAGAGGCACTCTGGGCCACAGCATCAGACCCGGCAGGAAGCACGCGCAGGCGTCAGTGGTGGTCACGTGCTGTGTGCTCACAGGGTGCTCTGGAGACTGAGCCCAGCTCTGCGGTCCTCTCACACAGGCTGCAAATCAGGGCACCATCTTTGCCTCCCTGCTTCCGGCCCTGCCCCAGGCTGGGCTTCCCAGCCACTCCCAGCCAGGCCCGAGGGATGTGCCCAGAGGGCCCCAGGCCTCCAGTAAGGGCGCCTGCCCAACTTCCTAGGTCGCCAGGATTCAGGCCTGCCTACCATGTTTTCGTCACTCTGGGGGCTGGGCCAGAAGCTTCACAGAAGGGACCCAGGTCTCTCCGGGCTGTCCTGCAGAAGAGTGCAAACTCTCCAGGCCAGAGCTCCGAACTCCAGGCAAAACGATCCTCCCTGTATATTAAAAACTTGGATTCGCTGTTGACATTTGACTATTGGGAGATTTAACGTAAAAATTGCCACCTTGATTCCCACATGGACAGCTTACTGGAGCTGATGATGGCTGTTCCCTTTAACTTGGGTCTGGGCCCTCCATTCCGCCTGCCCGAGGACCCCCGCCCCCGCTCCCCCTGCCCCCAACCCAGCTAGCTTCTGTCACTGGTATTGCCTTGCTGGGCCTGAAGGCATTTGAGTTTGAGATCTATGGCTGAGCCTTTAAAGAGAAGCCAGTGGAGGCTGACAGCCAGGTGGACGGCAGAGGGCCCCCACAGAACCCACCCCCCCACTCATTTCCACAGAAGTCCTAGGACTCAGGCAGTACTGAGTAGGAGCGCAGGGTTCAGAATTGTTAATTGAAATCACTGAAGTCGCCTGGTTCCCACGGTGGAGAACTGGAGCCCAGACCTCCTCCGTGGGGTCTGGGGCCTCCCAACAAGGCCTTGTGGTCTGGCCTGCCCGGGGTGGGGGTGGGGGTAGCAAACCAGCGCCCTAGAGGCCAAACACCCCCAATCCACCCTCCCGCCGCCAGACTGCGGGGCTCGGGCCTCACCACCCTCTGCCTCTCTTCCTGCAGGGGGAGCTGCTGAGCCCGTGCCGCTGCGATGGCTCCGTCAAGTGCACACACCAGCCTTGCCTCATCAAGTGGATCAGCGAGCGGGGCTGCTGGAGCTGCGAGCTGTGCTACTACAAGTACCATGTCATCGCCATAAGCACAAAGAATCCTCTGCAGGTACCAGCGCGGGCTTCCCCTCCCCGGGGCTGCGGGCCTGGGGCCCGGGGTTTCCCACACCGCCTGCTCTCCCAAGGGAGGGTGATTCCACCTTAGATGGGCTAGGTGGGCGAGACCACGGATGACAAGTGGGCAGGACGAGGAGAAAGGGATAGGGCAAAGACAGATAGATATAGAAGGAAAGAAATGCGGAGAATCAGACGGCAGAGGGAGCCTAAGTGAGCTAATGGATGGATGAATGGATGAATGAAATCAGAAAGATAAGGGAAAGGATAGGAAGAAAAGACAAGAGGGAGCAAGGGGAAAACAAGCAAGAAAGACCAGAGGACAGAAGAGTATAGGATGGAAAAAGAGACAGGGCAGGAAGGTGAAGAGAAAGACTGCCACAGAGCTAAGGGTGGATAGAAGAAATAAGGAGAGAGGAGACGCAGTGGTACGCCCCAAACTCCAATGTGCATGTAATTCACCTGGAATCTTGTCAGATGCAGACAATGACTCAGGAGGAGAGGCAGGGCCCAAGAGTCTGCATTTCAACAGCTATCAAGTGATGCTGATGCTGCAGTCCACAGAGCACACTTGGGACAAGGGACTAGAGAAAAATGGAGAAGAGACAGGCGAGGGAAGCAGAGGAAAACAGAAGCATGGGCAAGAAAGAAAGAAAAGGAGGGAATGTGAAGAGTCCGCTGAGAAGGGCAAGGGTGGGAGGGCCAGGGCTCGGGTGGGGTCTGCGAAGCAGATGCACCACGGGCTGGACCTGTGAGAACCGAGGGCTCCCCCAGCGTCCACCCCGGCCCCTCTCGCTTTGCCCTGACACAGCCCTCATCCCCAGAGGGGCTGGCAGGCCCCGCGCCACCTCGTAAATCCTCCCATTCATACAGCTCCCCCTGCGAGGCACACACTCGGAGGGCACTCTGCTTCTGAAAATACCCCCACATATGCACGGTCAGCCAGTTAAGCAGCCACGTAATCAATTAGCCAGTAAGGATGGGAGCTGCCGCAGCCTGGCAAGTTTTTCTCTCCTCCTCTCCGAGGGTGGGAGAGAGTCAATCCTGCACGTCCAGGAAGGTGGGTGGCTTGGGGGTGATAGTGGTGGGGGCTCTTTGCATGGAAGGGCAGTTGGAAACACCTGGCACCACAGTGTCCGTGCATACAGGCCAGCAGGAGGACATTATTTCCGGAAGAAGGCATTAAAGTCCTCAGCCATCCTGATGGTGTACCCAGGGGTCAGAATAAGAGGTGCCTCTCCCTGCGCTGGTGCCATCTTTATCCATCCATTTCAAACCCTTGAAGTGTCTTAAAATAGCTGTGTAGTGACACAGCTGACTCCACGCCCTGGGGTGCATTAACTCTTCCCTTCCTTCTCAGCTGATTCAAGCCTTGGAAAAGGGTCACAGTCCAAACGCACAAGCCCACCCCAAGCTGTCCCCTTGGCTCATAAACAGGCATCAGCCCTTAACACATGAAATGAAATACCATTTAGGGATAACTTCTCCCTCCGGGTAAAGAAAAGAAAAGATTATTCTAATCTTATGAATGCAGTAAGCAAATGGCAGTATTGACAATTTTGATCTATTACTTTATTCTTTGTGAGTTTCTAGGCATTGGGGACTCTCTGATTCTGTTACTCCTGGATTGTGAGTGGACCACATTGCACTCAGTGGTGTGTGCTCAGGAAATGCCAATTCACCTTTCCAGATAGTCCCAGAAGAAGGAAGTAGTCTGGACTAGCAGCAGTGTTGTGTGGTTGTGGCCCCAGTTGTCCCAGTTGCCTGTCCTGGGCTCCTCAGGCTCAGCCAAGTGTGAGACGGCTGCCTGCTGAGCCACAGTGGGGCAACTTCTGCTCCCACAGCCCGGCCAGACCATCTGCGGTACCTGCACGAACAGGCAGGCCCTACTGCCAGTGAGCAGAGTGACGGATGCGATGCCAGGGCTGCCTCTGCTGTCAGAGTGGGGAGGTTTCTTCCAGGTCTCTGATCTTTCGCCTCTTGCTTCATGCCTTCAACATCGTGAGTACAGCGGGCAGAGCAGCATGTTATCTCAGTGACCCTCTGCAGGCTCTGTTTCTAGCAGATGAGCCCCTGAGAATGGAGGAGTTTCAGGGTGGCCCTGGGGCCTTGAGGCTTTTCTTACCCTCTTTGCTACACCTGAACTGCAACGATATTAACGAACATTTAGTTAGTACTTACTGGGGGCCAGCCACTGTTCTAAGTATTCTTATATGTTATCTCATTTAATACTGAAAGCAACCCAGTGCAGTGGGTACTATTATTATTCCCAATTTACAGATGAGACAATGGAGGCACAGAAGAGTCAGCAATTTGCCCAAAATTGCCCTGACAGAGCAAGGTTACATCCAAGGGGTCTGATTCCTGAGTCTAGCCCTTAACAGCTACCCTGCAGTGCCCAGCACGTAGTTTGCTAAGCGTGATTATGAATACCCCCCACTTTGGCACGCACAGCTGAATTTTTGCTGAAATATAATGAAGGACAGAAATGCTGGCAGCTGGTACCCTTCAGAGCACGGATTACAGCATTGTTCCATTAACCCTCACCGTACTCTAGGGAGCTGAAAGGACCAATGCTCTCCATTTTTTTGGAGGTCCTGATGATGTAGACTTCTCCTAGGTCACGCTCCACAAGTTGGAGCAGAGCTGGGCTCAGATTGGGTCACCTGGCCCTTGCTCACTGCCCCTTGCTGTTCTAAGGAAGGAAATGTCCAGGCTCCGTGCTCTTTCCCCTTTGTCTCTCCCCTCACCGCACAGCAGGGCGTGGAGAAGTCTCAGGACAGTGCAATCAGGATTTCTCTAGGGACAAAGCCCGGATGCCTGGTGGTGGCAGAGCCTGGTGCCTGGAGCCCTTCTCCCCTTCGAGCCACCTGTGAGACGGCAGAGCTCTCCCGTTCTCAGCGTCCTCCTTGCCCCCGCTGCTCCCTACACCTCTCGTGGAGCCTCACACAGGACAGACAGACGGGAGGGGAGCCCTGTGACAGCACCCCCTTCCTGTCCTTTCTTCACATGCTTCAAATTGCCATCAGGGGTGCTGTTTGGTCTCCCCAGGCGGCTTGGGGGCTGGTAGGAAGGGGCCTTAGGGATGAAGGGGAGCTTTCTGTACCTCTCTTTGGGGTTGCCGAAGTCCAGAGCAGGAGAAGGGGACACGTCCCAATGGTGGAAACAGAAAGCTCAGTCAGGAATCCCCTTCACAGACAGTGAGACAGGCTCTGGAAAGAGCATTTATTGTCTGTGAGAGGTGTCCGCTGGATCAGGCCAGCTTCTGGAAAACTCCTTTGTTATATGTAACCCTTGGCTGGGGGAAGCAGTGGAAAATTTAAAGGCCCAATTACCTGTAATGGGAGACTATCTGGATAATTAAATGTGAAGGCTGATGTCCTACATCTAGACCAGCAAGTGTAATGCTTTCCAATAGTTTCAGTTCCTTAGGGGCCACTGGTCAGTCCTGGCTGGAGCTGGAATCAGTGCCTCCATCCAGGCCATTCAGTGTGGGGGGAGGGCTCCCTATTAGCAGACGGAAAATTGTAGGCCTTTCCTTAGGAGTTCTGAAATCTGAGACGCCTGCCGGGGGCGTTCTCTGCAGGGTGTAGGGCAAACTGCTACCGTCAGGAGACAGTCCTTTCCTCCACCTTCCCAGATCTGATCCTGTCAATTTCCCTGCTTAAAACTTTTCAAAAGCATGATGTTTACTCTTACAACAGAGTCAAAAATCTGTGTATATTCTGCAAGATCCCACATGGTCATCTTCCCTTCCTGCTTTCCTAGTCTCACCCCACACTCCCTTCACATCCTCTGCTCCAGCCACTCTGGTCTTCCTCCAGGTTTTCACACTTACCATGCTTCCTTCTGTCACAGGGCCTTTGCACATGCTTTTCCCTCTGCTGAAGCACATGTCCCTCCTCTCTTTGCCTAGTAAACTCCCACTTGACTCATTGCTTCCTCTGGGAATCAAATCCCCTGTCATAGGCTCCCACATGCCATGTACATCCCTCTCTTACTCCTGTTGGATTACAGTTGTAAGTAATTGTTTGGTTGTCTGTATTCCTTAGATTTAAAGCTCCACAAAGGCAGACATCATGTATGTTTTTACCTATTGCTTTATCATCAGCACCAGGCAGAACATCTGACACACAGAGAATACCACGTACATATTTGTTGAGCAAGAGTGTGAATAAGTCCCAAACTAAAATCCAACTCATGGCTCATTTAGGCCTGTGCTACGTGGACCAGCCATAGAATCATAGAATTTCGGAGTGGAAACCCGCCCACACCCGAACCTTCAACCCATTCATCAATACTGCTATTAGCACATTGCTCTTTCTATTAAAAAACTGAAATCTCAGTGTTCATATATCGTCAGTAAATTATACTGTTTTTCTTTTCTCTCCCCCACATCCTGTATCCTCTCTCTGTTGAACTGGTAATTTCTAGCATGTCTATTAAATGACATGATGCCAGGTGTTGTTATAGAAAACAAGCAAAAAGGGGGATGGGGAGCTGTGCCCTCTCAGCACCTATTAGTGTGAAAATAAAGTGTTGCTCTGAGAAGAATATTCTGGGGACCTGGAACACCACCTACACTCTGCATTTCCACTTTCTCCTTCCCGCTTTCCTCTCTGTATCATAATCAGCCACAAAGGCTTTCCTTCCCAGGCATGCCTGCCCAGAACCCCCTCCCTGTAATGACTTCTGATCTTCTGATCATTTGGCGTGATATAGGTTTCCCCCACATCACAAGCACAATGTAAAACTCAGAAACTTGCAGAAATAGCCATTGTCTTACACATTGGAAAGCCCTGGTTTAAATCCAGAGGCGAGCGGTTGGGGCAGCAGAAGGAATAGGGCTGGGAATGGGGTGGAAGTGGGGTGACAGCATCCAAGCAACAGCTAACCTGCCATTCTCTTCTCCACAGTGGCAGGCCATCTCTCTGACAGTCATTGAGAAGGTTCAGATCGCAGCTGCCATCCTGGGCTCCCTCTTCCTCATCGCCAGTATCTCTTGGCTCATCTGGTCGACCTTCAGTCCCTCAGCAAAATGGCAGCGCCAAGACCTCCTCTTCCAGATCTGTTATGGGATGTATGGATTCATGGACGTGGTGTGCATAGGTGGGTCTGGGGCCTGGTCTCTACGGGAAGTGCGGAGCCACTTGCTGGTGAATTAGCTCCCTCAGGATCCCTCCGTCTTGAAGGTCAAAGCAGAGATGGCACCAGGCTTGAGACCTGTGAGCTTAAGAGGGGCCAGCGGCTTAGATTTGAGGGGTGAGTAGGAGTAGGAGGAGGCAGGGCAAAGAAGGAAGATCTAAATCTTTCCCCAGCAAATCTGTCCTGCCCAGTTGAAGGTAAGAAGAAAAGGGCTTGCCTCCAAGAATATTTGAGAAAGGTCAGTTGGTCAGTCTATTTGCCTTGAACAAGATGTGGAAGGCCCCAATCTGTCGTATACACCACGGTTGCCACGTCATGACAAGGGATGGGTTATACAGTTAGCTCCATTCTCTTCACGGCAAAATGCCCAGAAACAGCCGTGATGATACCTGCCCCCTTTTCCCAGCTTTCCATAAGCCTATTATATGCCCAAGATTTCTCTAGTCTAGTGTTTCAGTGTATGTGGTCCTGGGGTTCCACACACAAGTTCAGGAGCCCCTTTGGGGGTGGGGAGTGAAACGCTGTGCAGACAGACTCTCAATCTTCACTCCTGCTTTACCCTAACCTTCTGTACTTTCATCTATTTACATGTGTCTGTTCCAGGTAAGATTTTGTCTTAAAGCCTAGAATGTTTTAGAAAGAAGCTGGAAACCTGCCACTGTAGCGCCTGCTGGTTCCCTCACACCATTCCCGAATGTATGTTTTCTCCTCTTCTGTCGTGTTCAGTTGGTTGGTGGGGGGCTTTTGTTTTTCCCAACACACGATGGTGGCTGCCAACTCTGAAGTCTTCATCCAAGTGACTGAGGAGGTGGGGAATGGGCCTGGTTTTCTCTGAGTGGATGAAGCCTGCTTAAGCACTGGTCACAAACCCTGCCCTGGACCTCTCAGCTTACCCCCGAGGCCATAGCACCGAGAGCACCAGGGTTCCACAGCTGTCTTCTCTGGGCTCTAGTTTGTGCATTGCATCAAATATGCTACTCTACTCTGTTTGGCAAGAAATCATCTCTTAGCTAGAATTTGGCTGAGAGGGTGTTCTCTTTCTTCGGGGTCCTTTAATGTCAGGAATCAGAGAGGCCTGGAGACTTGCATACTGATTACAGCAGCCAGAGAGACCAGTGATGCTGGAAATTGTAAGTTTGTCTAAGCATCTTGCTGCCTCTCCCTGCTGGCTAAACCAGTACATCAACCCCAAGTTCAAGAGCTTTTTGATCATGGCACCGAGGCAGTGAAGGAAACAGATTGCCCGGGTTTGGAGGACTGTGGAAGAGAGAGGACTGTGAATGGGGAAAAATTTGACTTTGAGGCATTCTAAGTTAGTTCCCTCTCCCACCAAACTCCCTTCCTTCCCCTGCTGAGGCACAGGTTGTGGATGCCAAAAACCAGGTGTGTCTCCATATGGAGGTGTACGGCTCTGGCTGGAGGGGGAAACAGTGGCAGCCCTTCCAGATGCCCTTCATTCTCCTTCAGGCAGGCTTTTCATGGGTTCCTGATGTGCACTTCTAGGAGACATGCTTTCCTGTCACGTGATGTATTAGTCAGCTTTGGCTGCAGTAACAAACAACCCCCAAACTGCACTGCCTCACAAATGTTGATGTCCCATTCATGGGTCTGTGAGATGGTTTGGTTCTGCTGGGCTTGGCTGGACTTAGCTTCTGACTGTGTGCTGGACTTAGGCCTGCTCTGAGTGTCTCCTCATGCTGGGGCCCAGGCTATTAAGGAGCAGGGACTACTGGGGTATCTTCTTCTAGCCAAGTGCAGGAGCACAAGAGGACTGAATGGTGGAAATCTGCATTGCTTCTCAAATGCTTAGTACTGGCATGCTGTCCCTTCTGCCCATAGCCCATGAGCCAGTGAAGTCACCAGTAAGCTCCTCCCCTAGAGGGAACATGGGTGAGAGAGAGGAGCCTAAATACCATCTACAAGTCAAGGCTCCATAGCTTTGAAAATCAAGAGTACTGGGTATAGAAGAGGCCATGCCATTGACCAGTACAGTGTGCTTGTTTTTAAGTTGAGAGCATAGGGGTTCAAGGAAGGGAGGTGATCTGCTCAAGATTGCTCAGCTCAGATTAGAAGCAAAGTCTCCTGGCTGGAGCTCCATTGCTCTTCCCATTATCCTCCTGCATCAGATGGCAGTAATCCCCAGGTGTCACTTCTGGGATACCACAGATGCCACCTGCAACTTCGAGGGCAGCTGGGCTCACTTATAGGAGGAGCCCTCACACCAGGCCTGCTCCCTGTGGCTCTGAGCCACCAAGCACCCCTGCTCTGGCCTGCCTGGTGCTCTGGTCTCTTCTGTGCATGGTGTCTGCCCTGAGTAGGGCCCCTCAGCACCATCTCCTCCTCTGTGTCTTTCTTGGCTCCTCTATCTGCCTGCCTCCCCACAGCCCACCTCCTTCTCTCTTCTCTCTCACTGCACGTGGTACTCAGTTACTCAATTTATGGGAGAAGCAGAGTGAGCTAAATACTGAGAGTTTCCACATTGTTTTCCTTCCTTCCAAACTTTTAGGGAAACATAACTTCCCAGTTGCCCAGCTACAACATGACCCATCTATCTGCTCTGACAGCCAGTGACTGTTTGGAGACAGCCATTGGATGGGAGGGGGATATGTAGGGACCCTAACTGCTTTTGGTGCCATCAGAAGTGGTCAGATATATTTATATTTACACTGTCTCACCTTTACAAAGTCTTGACTGCTCTATGATTTTATTTATTATAACGGGAGCTAATTCTGCTTCAGAGCATGTCCCCGGGGCAACGATTATTCTTCCGATTTTTCAGATGGTGAAACTCTGAGACTGGGGAATGTGTCCCAGACTGACTCAGGTGGCAGAGTAGGGCTCTCAGTTCAGGGCTTATATTGGGAGGTGCTGTTCGTAGGAGAAAATGCTGGGAGACAAAATTAAAAGGGGTGTGAAATGTGATCTAGATAAGAAAGTGGAGGGGGTGACAGGCAGTAGCTGGAATACACAGATTCTTGTGCTGGTTTCAGTGATGATGATTCTGATGATGGTGATGATGATCAACAGTGATGATGGCGGTTTTAAGGGTGAAGTTCAAGTACCAGTCACTTCTCTGCAGTGTTCTGGCCAGTTGTAGGCGGAAACACATAACACTGCGCAAGTAGGTGTAAAAATATCAGCTTTTTAAGGGCTCTCTGGGAGGGAAAATCAGGGGACACCTCTTTATTTTTAAGCTTAACTAGACATTCAGACCCATGGAACTACCAGAGAGCACGTCTGGCACCAGATTGACTTAGAGGAATGTAGGACAGGCACCAGACCGTCCACAAGGCAGGTCCAGCTTACCCCTGTAGGCGAATCGTTACTGCACTCCATATTCTAGTCCAGGGCTAGTCTCTTGGCCCCCAAATGATAGCTCAGAAGCAAAGAGATAAGACCCACAACAGTGGGCACAAGGTCCATCTTGGCATGGTGTCCAGGCTCCCCGCAGAAGTCATGCTCACTTACAAGTCACTGTACTCAGAAAGCCCGACACTACAGCCTCCCAGCAATTTTTATAGTAAAGTGCCCACCAGTCAGGGGCCACCTTCGACTTAGGCAATGTTATAATGCAGCTGACACTCCACCTTCATCAGATTTCCAGGGGAAACAAACCAGAATGCCAATCCAGGAACCAATTTGTTCCCAAAGAAGGAGAAAGTATACCATCACTTCTCTCCTACCACCTCCTGCCTTCATATGACTGTGAGCCTGGACTTTTAGTCTGATTCACTGAACCAATGGGAGGTAGCGAAGCTGGAACAGAGAACAGAGACCAGGCTGGGCTGGCCAGAAGGAAGCACGACGTGGTCCCCTTTCTGCACAAAGATGGAAAACACAGAGGAGAGCCACAGGGCGGCACCTACTTACTTTTGAGGCAGTCGTCAGTTTAAAAATGCAATGATTTAGTTCTCTCCCATAGAAAAGAAGAAACTTCCCATCCAGAAATCCTGGGAGAGTGGAAGAAGATGATGTGAAAGAGTGCGCAGAGGAAAAGAGGGCCTCCCCCAGAGAATGGGTGGAAGTGGTGATGAGAGAGGCTAGTGCTTTCAAGAAATGTTGGGTGAAGGAAAATGTTGACTGAAAGAATCAATATCTGTAGACCCAAGCTCCTTGGATACATAGAGCAATTTTTACCTGGATAGAAAGTTTATCATCAGGAGAAAGGAAAATTAGTCTAGCCCTGGGTTAGCTCAAAAGGTGCAGTAAGAAATAAAGAAGACCATTTGTTAAAATGAATATTTGAACTCTCTCTACTTTCCAGACACCAAGAGCAATATGTCTATTCCCTAAGACTTAAATGGCCTCAGATAGTAAAAATCTGAGTCAACATAAAATGTATAGCTTTAATTAATTAATCCTTAAAAATATATTTCCCTTTTCCATCAGAGCACCGTGCTGAGGAAAAGCTGATGAGAGTGGGAGGGATACATGAAGAGGAACTCCACTGAGCACCAGCACCAGCTCAGCAGATACTCTCTGCCATGAAACCAGGAGGATGCAGAGCCTTGGACACGGTCAGCTTGCTGCTCGTGTGTCCACCTGGCTGGCCTCCAGGTCAATTAGTGACAGTAATGACTTTCAGGCAATGGCCTTCGGTTCCCACCAATGGGAAATGCCTGAAATGGTTGCTGGGTTCTCTGATGCACTGTGGGTCCAGGGTAGTAGACAATGGTTCTGGACTTGATCATAACAGAGGGTTGCATATTCTGGGATAGATACAAGCTGCCTCTACAGATTAAACATCTCTTGGCTTAGAGTCCTAATTTCCTAGACCAATCTATGCCACTGTGAAAGCCAAATGTAAGTCGCTATAGACAGGACAAACCATCAAATCCCTGCAAGGACAGAGAGGAACAGAGAAAGGGGCCCAAAACACTAAAAGATAAGTAGGGTAATTATGATGATCCATATTTAACAGGTGAGGATAGGTTTAAAGCAGTTGGGTTCCAGGTCACGTAACTAAGCAAATGGCAGAGCTGAGGACTGGACCAAGAACATCTGGCTCCAGTTCCTGGGCACTTTCTACTGCTATTTCATCTCTGATTGCTCTGTGAAATTGCAAATGCAGAGCTTGAATGTGGAGGCAGGTTGAGAGGAAATTGGTCCAGTAATACCTTGACCCATCGGGTAATGGCTGTGAGCAATAAGAAATTCAGTGCACCCCAGCTGCTCCTCTCCTGCATTCAGGGTTTTGGAGGGTGGCCATTGTTGTACCTCCCTTTTGATCAGTGCTATTCTGATACCAACTAAGAGGGAGGCTTGAGAAGTTGAGATGAAATTCAGGTGGTTTGTCTCCCTGTGAGACACTCTGGTGAAAGGTACTTGGGATATGGGGGCTAAATCTACTGGTTAACATGAAATTGGGGAATATATTCCTTCACTCAGAAATATTTATTGAGTGGGAACTCCCAATAGGAGAGTCACCTGCTCTTAAGGATCTTACATTTTACTGGGGAGGCAGAAAAACCAATTATTGATCCTAGTAATAAGAGCTGGGTCACAGGGCTGAGTGAGCACGAGAAATGACTGAGTCAGAGTGGGCTTGGGATGGTCATATCCATTCATTCAGTAGCATTTATTGGCTGTCTTGTTCTGTTCTTGAAACTAGGGAACATCAACAGAGAGATGAATGAAACACAGTCCCTGCTGTTGAAGAATTCATAGTCTACAAATAAATCACAAGACAGCAGGAACTTTTACAAGACACAGAAAAAGGTAGAACAGAGCAGAGAGCAATTAACTGTCTCTTGGAGGTGTCCAGGAAGGTTTTCTAAAGGAAGGGACTCTATCCTTGAGCTAGTTTTATGTCAAAGTTTGTTCAGAAGAGTGGAGAAGAAATTCCAGGCAGAGCATGTGTAGTGACACAGAGACATGAGAGAACAAGGTGTACTTAAGAAACTTTGGGCAGATTTGTATGGCTCAGTGCAAAGAGCCAGGGTGGGGAGGTGGATCATGGGGAAGAGGAGGTTGGCAAGAGCCAAATCCTGTAGCATCACGAATCATGTGCTAGGCAGCTCAGACTACCCTGCTGGTAATGAGGAGGCATTGATAGGATTTTATACAGAAAAGAAGCATGATCAGATGTGTGTTTTAAAGAGGTGACTGGGGAGGATGGATCAGAGTTGGACAGACTAGAAGCTGAGAGAGACCAGTGGGAAAATGCTCATAACAATGTGAGCAAGAAGTAAAGAGATGCAAAACTGTGGCAGTGGGGGAAGACGCATAAGGGAAGACCTTGAGAAGCACGTAGGACTTAGACTTGATAGGACTGTGGGAGCCCCAGGACTCTGGCGTGAGTGCAGACTGGGCACCATCACTGAGCATGAGGATGGTGTGGGCAATGGATGAAACCAAGGGAAAACAAAGGTGTGTATCTTCAGAAAAGACACCAAAACAAAAGGATCATCTTAAGCCTAAAATCCAGGCAGAGAGGCAAGAGGCAGTTCCTAAGTCAAGAGTTTGCAGTAGAAGAGAAGCAAGACACATGAAGGACATGATGGGCTGCAAAGAAGAGAATGCTGGGCCAGGAAAGTGTCTCTTTCCTGAGGTAGAAAGAGGGAAAGCCTTTTTTTTTTTTTTTTTTTTAGTGCACAGGTGAGTCCCCTCCTGGGACACAGAGGGAGATGTTGAGGGCATTAAGCCATTTCTGGTGACAGCTAGTGACTGATGGAAAGGAGGAAAAGTAAGGAAAGGTCTCCGTAGGCAGCTGAAGACAGACTTGGAGGGCGACAATAAGAGGTGTTTGAAGCTGTGGGTTTGGATTAGATCCTTAGGACAAATGGTCAGAGAGTAGGTGACTATGGGCAGAGACTTAGGGAACATTAAACACTTAGGGGATGGGAGGAGACAGAAGGTGAGAAAAAACTGGAGGGACTGAGCCACAAAACCCGGAGTGGCGGGTTTCCGGAATGACGGGAGTGGTGCTACATTATGGTCTGTGGCTGCATGTCACTCAGTTGCTTACTAACCTTGGGACCTGAAGTGATTTGCATAACCTCTCTCTGCTTTTGTTTTCTCATCTGTGGAATGGGATAGTAATCCCATCTTCAGAGGACTGAATAAGATGGCACAGGTGAAGGAGCAGGCACTCACACATACCAGTGACCAGGATAGGAGATACTTGATCAGAGTAGATTCCCTCAGGGTAGGCACTCAGTAAAGGTTTTCCCAAACAGTGAAAACCTGAATCCAGCCATGGCCTAGAGAGACTGACCAGAGTCCTCACATAACAGAGAATCTGCTGTTATTTGGAGCAGTGCCTCATCTGGAAGGTTTTTGGCTCCCTCACCCATGTCCGCTCCAAGAGCAGCTCTGATTACATCGAATGTCCTCGTTCCACCTGCCTCCTCTTCCGTCATCTCTAATGACGCTGTCTTCCCCAGCGGAGAAGCTGACAGAGCCTCCCGGGAAACAAATGGGACATTCTCTGCTCCAGCGGGTCACGTTATTAGGATTTAACAAGAGCGAATTAATTAAGGTCTTTGACACCAAAAACATTTCTTTTTCACTCCATAGACCCAAGAGATTGGCCACTAAGAAGTCAACTCTGCAAACATGAGGACCTCATCCTCATCCTGTTTGTTTTTCACTTATGAGTGGAATGGGGTCAGGGAAGGAAAGTGAGCGAGATTTCTGAAATTACTCCAAATCTTTAAAACAGTGGGATAGGGTAATTAACGAAACAATAGAAAAGTTTTTTGTTAAAGCTCCCTCTGTGTGCAGTCCACTGAGGTTCTTTCCATTGATTTAGAGATGTCTGGTACTTTCCCTCTGAGATAAAAACTCAGTTTACAGCAAGTGGGCAGGGAGCAGGGGCACCAGGACTGTAAAAACATGGTTTTTCAAATTGAATTTTCATTCAACTCTAACAAAAAACCACATATATGCCACAAATATTCCTTCCTTTCTTCCCTCCTTCTAGATAGAAATAACCCCACCTGTCAAATATTTTAATTTCCTGATTAGGAAACAGAAAATATGCAGGAGGTAGCCCGGTGCAGTAGAAAAGACCAGGATTAGCTACTAACCATGACCTGGGGCAAGTTACTCACTCTCTCTACAATTCAGCTGACTTACCAATAGAATGAGATGGTTAAACCTCATAACCTACAAGATCCTTTCAGGTCTGACATTCTAGGATTTTGAATTGAAATTACTTCCACTGTGAGGTGTCATGACTCTCAGATATTGGCAACTGTGGATGCAGCGGATTCCCAGTATTGTCGAGCCGGGGCAAAAAACCTACAAGCATCAGCTACATAAATGAACAAGATGATTCTCAGTCCACGTACTTGCATGTGGTTTATCCAATTTTACGGATTAACTGTTAACTCATATTTCCCCACCTGCTTCCTTAAGCACCTCCTCCCCTCGCCCCCCTCCTATGCAAGGTCACCTTTCTCCACATCTGACCTGCTGAATGCTCAGAAGATGAAGATGACAGATTTAGAAGCAGACATGCCAAGCAAGCTCTGTCCCCTCAAAGGAGACCCCTTGGGAGGCAATTCAGTTGTGCTGACAGGGCTCAAAATATTTTAGGAACACTTAGGGAACTGCCTTCAGTGCCTGCAGCTCAGTTTTTGGAACAGATTCAGAAGTGGCAAGTCTGTCCTTTGATGATGAGTCTGTGGCTAGAAAGACCACAGTCTGGTAAATAAGGTAGATGCTCAAGCACATGAACTTTGGGGACCACGTGAGATGTGCCATCAAACTCAACTGCTTTTCTCTGTGGCCCCTAACCTAGCACTGAAGGCATTTTAGTTAGGGTAACTCCAGCAGACAGAAAGAAAAACCAGTCCCCAAATTCAGCGTTTTAACCCAATGCAGCGATTCAAGGACCCAAGACCCTTCCATCTTGTGGCTCCACGGTTCCCTAAGCTTTTGAATTTTTTATCTCCAGCTAATAGGAAAGCATGGATAAGGCAAACACACACACACACACACACACACACACACACACACACCTTTCCCCCTCAGTACCCATTAAATCTTGGCTTGACCCACCCTCACATTCAGTGCCAGTCACCTCGCTCTACCTGAGTGCAGAGAGATCCCTGAGCTCAGTGTCCTGTTCTGTAAAGTGGAGGTAACATCACCACCTTCAGTGGGTTTCTGTGATAAGTTGACCATATTTGCGAAGCCCTTTTGGTGATAGCATTTTGGTAAGCATTCATTAAATGTTGACTCTCATCACCATCATTATCACCATCACCATCGTCATCACCATGACCTCGGCATCACCACCCAGAGCGGCTGAGAAATGCAGTTCTGTCAGTATCTGTCCAGAGAGTGAGAGCTCTAAGCCTCATTTTAAAAAACCCACAGAAAAAAGTCTACAGTCTCTTAAACACACTTCCAAGAAAGGACCTCTCGATTTTACTAATGCAAGGATATTTGGGGCTCCAGGGATATTTCTCTTTCCCACCCAGTCCCACTGAGTTAAGCTCACTCCATTTCAAAGAGTCTCGGCCCTCTTAGTGACCGTCTAGCAAAGGTCTTCTCACAGGTCTCTGCAATGCCCTGCACGGGCAGAGTGGCTGCGATGGTTCTGGCTCTGATGCACTGAGAAACACTCTGTATAGCTCGAACAAGGTCAACTGGCCCAGCAGGGGTCCTGCTAGGAAGGGAGTGCTTTCAGAAGTCACCTCCCAGGGGACACCCTCTCCCTGGCCATTGATAAGGCATGGATGGGATGGAAACAGAAGGGGAAGGTGGCTTTGCGTTCACCCTCATTGAAGGCTCTCAGCCTTTTGAGTCTTTATTATGGGGTCACCTGAAGAACTAAAACTTGAACCTTTTGAGTCAAGGTAAGCCTGCCCACGTGAAGCCCCTGGATCCACATCTCACCACCTCAGGGAGGCCCCCAGAGGTACAGCGTGGCTACGCTTGTGAGAAACACAGAGCTGTACCCCTGGAGAATATTGGGCAGGTGGTGGCATCTCCCAGTAGCTCCTGCTGGGCCCACCCAAACTAGCTGGTTATATTGATTTCTTTCCCACACCTACCCAGTTAACACTTAAGTGCCAGTTCTGGACCCTTGAGGGGTAGCATCTGGAAGATGAGTACTTGGCAACGGTGGGGCTTCAGGGGTAAGTCTTGCCCCACAGCTGTCTGACAACAGGTAATTCGCAGCAGGAGGGGAGCATCCTTGGCACCACTGAAGGTTCTCGGTGGTGGGAGAGGAGACACAGGTATGAAGTCTCACCTCCACAAGTGTAGAATCAGTTGGTCTTCAGAGCTCCTTTCAGTTCTAGCATGTTCATCTATGAACAATGACTCAGGCTGAGGATTGGGAAGGACAGTTGGAAGACAGAAGACCAGGTGCCTGTGGCTGGGAATGGAGTTGGCAATAAAGGAGGAGAAGGGAAGTGAGGGGGATTTTTTCTGTCCTGTAATTTCCCCTCAAACAATTAATATCTCGTAGCACCCAGTATAAATCTATGCCCAGCCCAGTGAAGGCACCAGCACATGGGGTTCATTACCTCATTTAATCTCAGAAAAACCCATGAGGATGGGGTTATCAGCCCCAATTTCCTGATGAGAAAACCGAGGCTCAGAAAGAGGAAGTAACTTACCACAGGCTACAAGGCCAGTAAGTGGCAGGTGTCTGAATGTTCAGTACATGTTCCTCAGTGATTTGACTCTAAACTGTCTTTGCGTCTAGGAGAGGAAGCACCCATTTCTTCAACTGCCTTAGTTTTTCTTGTCTGTCACATCTGGAAGTAGAGTATTTTAAAAAAATTACTTACAGCTCTTTTTTTGATCAACATTCAGAGCCTTCTGTGAGGCAGCAGGCCAGGAAAGGATCATGTTCTAGGCAGTGCTGTTCAAGTGTGGCCCATACTTAGGTGGCATCAGTATCACTTGAGAGCTTCTAAGAAATGCAAATTCTTAGGCCTCATCCCAGACCTCCTGAGTCAGATTCTCTGAGGGTAGGACCCAGGAATCTGTGTTTCCACAAACTTTCTGGTTTGAGAAGCCCTGTTGTAGAGTGTCTGCATCCTTTCTACTACTTAAACTAGGATGCTCATAGGAGAAGAGATGCAGGTGGGAAGCAGGATCTGGTGTCCCTGAGGACCAGAGCTCTTCTCTACATACTTCTCAGTCAGCCTTGGGCTGTTAACTCCATACATCATGGGAACTAGTCTTTTTGTTCCATGACAGGTGCTCACAGAAGCACATAGTAGGTACTCAGGAAATACTAACTAAACAGAATTATATTGTATCTCGCTCCTGTGGACACAGCAAGAACCAACGGCCTAAGTTCAGCAGAGGAGGAATGGGATGTCAGGTCAGAGAGAACTCCGTAACAGCTCTGAGATGAGCTAGGAGCAGGGGAGCCATGTAGGCAGGACCTCCTACTCACAGTGGCCACCTCCCCTCCCATCCTCATGGGCTGAGCAGTGGTCCATTTCAGCTGGAGGCCATGGGAGAGATATGATGACAAACAAAGGGTTCCGACCACCTATGGAGCTTTCAGGACGAGCCTGGGAAGATGGAGAGATGTTAGAAAGATGCAGGTGGCAGTTCTTCCAGAACTGCATCAGTGGATACAGCCCAGGGCTGGGCACCTTGTTAGGCGGTCAATGATAACTGTCAAGTTACATAGAAAACCCCAGAAAGGGACTGAATCAAAACATATTGAGTTTCTGATATTGCCTTGCATTCTAATTTTCCATTTTGTCTTTCTACTATTTCTCTGCCTCCTTTCACCAATAGCCTTCTTTCCTCCTATTCTAATTTTAGTCTCTCTCTCTTTTTCTCTGTCCACTGCCATTTCCTTCCCATCTTCTTTCTCTTTCATCTCTTCAACCTTGCCCACTTCACCGGTCCCTATCAGGTGAGCCCCACCCACCTTCCTTCATTAAAACAAAATCCTGCCACTCAAGAACTCAGAAATTTATAGAGCAAGAAGCAGAGGGAGGGCTAGGCAGTAGATGTGAAGGAGGAAGTTTGTGCTTTTCCAACTTTTGCCGAATAGCATTATCTACAAAAACAGGTGCACCTTCCTCCCCTTCAGCCATCTATCCATTAAAATGGTTTAATTACTTCCTGAACACTAGACAGTTAGATAATTAGGAGGTGGTGTCCAGACCAAAAATTTAAGCCACCCTCTTCAATCAGGGTAAAACTGTCTGATCAAGAAGCTAATTAAGAATCAAGTGTAATGACTCTTACTGTAAAGAATGAGTTTAGGGCTGCAAAGGATCCCAATTTTCTCTCCCAGAGGCTCCTGCCTCCTCCATCATCACCAAGGCTTCATTAAGCTCCTGATACTGTATTAGCTGTCCAAGCCTCAACCATACCTGACCTCTGTCCTCGAAGGGCTTACAATCTAGGGGGAAAAGCATAGCAGTGTCCGAACAAGGCTTGTGGAATAAATGAACAAGTGAACCCTGCAGTGCTGAGGATGCATAGGCATGTATTCAAAAGGCTGAAAGAAGTGATGAGAGTTGGCCCATTGGGAGATGGTGAGAAAGAGGACGTCTCCTTGTCCATAACCAGGCAGGAGGTCCACAAGTGGTCCAAAGAAGATTTATGAACCCCCTAAAGTCATAAGGACACTTCATGTGTCTGGTTTTTCCCGGGAAGATGGTCCTTAGCTTTTGTCAAAGGAGTACGTGACCCAAAGGATTAGGAACAACTGGGCTACAGGGAGACCATCTCTCCTTCAGTGGACCCTTGAAGACCTATTGCACAAAGGGCAATTTCAGGCTCTGTTGGAGTCCTGGAAGAAAGAGTAGCCATGAGTGGCTGTCTTGTCTCCTAGAATCACAGTGTGTTGGAGGCTGAAGAGGTTTTGAGATGTTGCCATCCAGCCTCTTAGCTTGTCATCAAGTTGGCGGAAGTGACTCATTGCCGTTTGCACCTGTGAGTCAGCTCTTCCCCTCCGGGGCCAGACCCGCCACCCCTAGATTTACAGTGCTGCAGGGCCAATGCCCCTGTGCCTCATCCCCCATGTCGTCTCATCCACCATGGGTCCCAGCCTTGCAGACCACCCTCATGATGTGGAAAGTCATCCCTTTCCTGTCTCGCTCATCCCTTAACGGGCCCCATCTTCCCGGCCCTTCCACATGCCCTCTGGACCTCATAGTCCACCACTGGCAGCCTCTTCTCCGAGTGTCCCCGTCATCATCCTTTAACTGAAATGTAGCTGTCTCCTGGGACATTGTTTCTTGCATGGCTGTCTCAAGTGGTGGCTGCTTTTTCTCCCTTACACTGTATTCTGTAGAGCTTGGAGGTGAGGCCATGTCCTCTCTGCTCACCATTACCCCTACCCAACCGCCTCTCTCCCCTTATCTCTCAGAAGCCCCAGCTGCTATGAAGTGAATGTCATCCTATATCTCCACCCCTTTTCGCTTCTTGATGCTGCTGGCTGCTGACTGCCTACTCACTCCTCCCATCCCCGATGCACCTGCGCACACACTCTCTCCCACCATTCCTGTCTTCAGCACTTTTGTAGATCAGTGGTCCTCAGCACAGGGGATGCCGTCCCAGAGGGGGCATTCTGGAAATGCACGAGGCTTTTGGTTTGTCTTCTAAAGCAGTCGTGCCCTAGCATTTACACTGAAATGTATATTATATAGTTATAAATGACTTCCTTTTTGTTTTTCTTTACATCATCTGTCAGGGCATTATATTAATTTAAAAAAGAGAAAACAGTAGCTTATATTATCATGTGAGTTTCATTTCAGAATAGGAATATAATTTTTAATATAATTTTTTATATGTGCATATATTTATTTACACCATGTATAGACACGCAGGACAGACATTACATAGGAAGGGGATCGGAGCTTTACTCTGTCATTTTAGGCTAGAGTTATGATTTCCTGCCACTAAAATTAAGAAGGCTGATAGATGAGAAAAAGGTGGAGTTATGCAAGGAGGAAGCAAGGACTGCAGGCAACTTCTTGAAGCTGAAAAAGGCAAGGAAATCGATCCTTCCCTCAAAGCCACCAGAAACAACCAGCCCTGCTGACACCGTTTTAGCCCAGTGACACTGGTTTTCAACTTCTGATCGTCAGAACTGCAAGGCAATACATTGGGTTGTTTCAAGCCAGCGAATGTGTGGTCATCTGTGCCAGCAGCAGTAGGACACTAACACAGTCACTGCCGCCACCACCCAAATCCACACGCCCTGCCCTCATGCCCACCACCTCCCAGTGGCACCAGTGTTTATCTCACTGCAGAGGCCAAAAGCTTCAGAGCTGCCCAGAGTTTCCTCTTGATGGACACCTCCCCTGGCAACAAGTCTGTCCGCTCTGCCTCCAACATACCTCCTGACTCCAGCGGTTTCTCACCGTCTCCACCGTGCTCATCCTCATCTCGGCCACCATCATTTCCAGCTTCAATCACTACCTCACTTCCTGCTTGGTCTTCTGGTCCTACCCTTGTCCCTCTTCAGTCTGTTGTTTCCCAGGAGCCAGAATGAACTTTCTGAGGGTAAATCAGATCACATGGTCCCCTTATTAAAACCCTTCAATGGCCTCCCATTATACTCAGGATAGAATGTAAATTCCTTGCCGTGGCCCACAAGGACTTTCCGTAGGCTGGCCTCTGCGCACCCCATCTCCCTGCACCGCCCCACTCATCCACTGCCCCTGCTGCACAGACCTTCTTTCTGACCCGTGTGCACTCCATTCTCACCTCCTGGCCTTCGTGCCCACAGCTCCTAACACTGACGTGACCCCGAGACCTTTGTGAGGACTCCTTCTCACCATTTGAGTCTCCACTCAAATATCACCTCCCCGCAAAGCCCTTTCCCACCATCCTCTCTGTAAAACAGGATTCTCGACATCTGCAGCCAGTGGCTATTTCACCCCATTTTACCTTCCTCATAGCATATGTCAGCACCTGAGAAAGTCTTACTGGTTTGTTTCCGTGTCTACCTTGTGTCTCTCCACTCTGCCTGTCCTGCTCACTGCACTCGCAATCCCTAGTGCTTAACACACAGTAGGTACACATTAATACGCAGTTTCCTGGTTGTCTGATGTGGCTCATTTCTGACTCTGCACTGTCTCTGACCAATATAACTGTGCCAAAGTTCTCTCCCCCAGGATTGTGCGTATTTCAGTAGCATTGGGCTATTTATTAAATAGCAAAGACTTAACCAGTGGGATCTCAGACATTCAGCAGGTATGGAATGACCATGGGGGTTTCTCTGATGGTTCCTTTAAAAAGCACAGGATTTGCTCAACCTCCGCTAAGTGCCGGGTGCCATGGACACAGGGCAGAGGGAGGAAAAGATACTTACATTATGCCTCAGTGGACAATGAATTTGGACTTTGTCAGGCCAAGGAGCAGGAGGGGCGGGGCCAAGGAGCAGGAGGGGCGGAGCCAAGGCAGGCAAAGGCGCTGCAGGTAGGTGCCCAGCTGTTTCATGCACTTGGCGAGGCAGCCAAAGACTCGCTAAGCCTAGAAATGTAGGGATGGTTACCAGGTGGCCCAGAGCAGAAAGGGAGGTTTGAAAAGAACAAATCAAAGCAATATAAATAAAGGCTCACTCAAGTCCTGAACCCTGTTACACATAAAGGAAGACTGACTTCGCCTAGCAGTGACCCTGCTTCCTCTTACTTGCCTTTGTCTTTCTCTTCTCCCTGCGGCCTCAGGTCTCATCATCCACGAGGGACCCTCCGTGTACCGCATCTTTAAACGGTGGCAGGCTGTCAACCAGCAGTGGAAAGTGCTGAACTATGACAAGGCGAAAGACCTGGAGGATCAAAAGGCAGGAGGCAGGACAAACCCCAGGACCTCCTCATCCACCCAGGCCAATGCCCCCTCCTCAGAAGAGGAGGCCGCGGGCACCCCTGCCCCTGAGGAAGGCCCTGCCCGCGAGGCCAGTCACCACCCCTCAGGCCCTCTGTCCGATCACCACTGTGCTTACACCATCCTGCACATCTTGAGTCACTTAAGGCCTCATGAACAGCGGAGCCCCCAGGGCGGCAGCCGGGAGCTGGTCATGAGGGTCACGACGGTGTGAGAGGAGAGACCTGGGAGGGAGGCGTGACCACGCACGCGCGCTCGCTCACGCACAGGAGAGACGAGAGGATGGGCTGGGAAGGGCGGACCCGACCCGACCCGACGGGGCGCCGCCGTCCGGGGGAGCGGGTGTTGAGGGGCAGAGGCCCCCCAGGGCCGGAGGGCAGGCAGAGGGTGGTGGCTTTGCCGGGCCTGGGGGCAGGGTGGGGGCTGGAGTGAGTGAGGCTGGTTCTGTGAGCAGTTTCCGGATTTCCGATCAGTCGAAACCGTTCTCCGGCGAGAACAAAGAAAAACAATACAAACTCAACAAGGAAGTGCAATACAGACTGAGCACCCAGATGTGCTCATGCGCAGAACACCTGGGAGAAGTGGAGGCTGGGGAGGGCGGAGCCGCGTGTCTGGTGATGGCGGGAGGGAAAAATGCGAAGGGCATGGGAAGGAAAAGCACTTGTAGGCTGCTCCGTGTCACCCTTGAGTTTTCTTTGGCTTCCACCTGGGCTGTGTTCCAGGGCCAGCTGTGGGGAGGGAGAGGGACGGGCTTGGGCTGGCAGAGAGGAGACACATGCCATTTTCAGCCCCTAGGCTCACCTGAGTGGGCAGGATTCCTGACTCAGAGGGCCTGGGGCGATGATGCAGGGAGGAAGATGTTGGCCTGAGCGGCCAGAGGGAGGGGAATGTCTTCTTTTGAAATCAGAACTCCCAATTTCAGATGGGCTCAAAGAGGACTTAGGTTTGGGGTTGAGTGTCTTTTCGTGCCGTTGTTACTTTATTTTATGGTGACTTGGCTCAAAGATGTTTACAGGAAAACACACACACACATGCATACAACTAGAGAAGAATACAGATTTCCTGTGGGTGTCTCAAGCACAGTCCTGCTGCTGTGGTTTCAGCCTTCAAAGCTGCCAATCCAGGAGTGATTTTCCCAACCACCCAACCCTACGCATGGCCAGGACATGCTCAGTGCCATGGCCTCTCCTGGCTTGGTACGTGCTGAGCCCAGGGCCCCCCAAGGCAGGGCATCTCCTGCCCAGGGTCTCCCAGGAGAGCTGCAGGGGGGAATGGGAGGAGGCTGACCAGATGTGCCCCGAGGAGTGGAGTGGAGACCTATCTAAGTATTCCTGGCTGCACGGGAGGCTCCCCCAAGGGCAGTTCGGCTAATCCCTCTGTGCTCCGTGCTCCCTGGTGCCTCCCGGGCAGCTGGGGCGAGGGGGCCAAGGGACCCTGGCAGGGAGCATTATCCCTGGAGCCCACCTGCTGGCTCTGGGATCCTGCCAGGGAAGGCCACTGGGTGGTCACCTGCAGAGTTTCTCGTTGTCGTTGCACAATGGCCGCGTCATCCGTGGGTATTAAAGGGACACTGTCAAGTACTTTTTTAAACTAGTTTTTAGGGTTTTTTAAAACTCTCTGTTGTTTGTATTATTCTCTTAAAAGCTTGAAAATAAAATTTCTTTCCCTACCACTAGTGTCTTTTCCTTATGTGAGCTTTTCCTTTCTCTGTCCTGTTTTCCCTCTGGTATGAGCTTCTCTCTCCCTTGTGT